CATTCGATTTCTTTGTAAATGACTACATATTTGCTGCTCTCAGATTTGTGTGTGTGTGTGTATGAGTTTGATGTTGTGTTTAAGTTTTATCTATGATCCATGGTTGACAAAATCTCTTGAAAGATACTTAGGTAAATTATCTTGATTCTACACACTCGACCTAATTTAAACCCATATCTTCTCTCTCTACTCAAGAACCTAATCTGTATTAGAGTCTGAAATATAGAAAAATTAGTTTGGAGATCCAGGCCTTCTTGCCAGCAAGTTACTCTTTATTTTGTAAATCCAGCTAACTGAAATCCTAGAGATTGCCTAGATGCATACCACAGTGTTGTTGAAAACACCTGTTCAACATTTATCTGTTATATCAATTTGCTTCCCACAAACAATCCTGAGAAGTGCAGGCTTGGAGAGAAAAAAAAAAATGTCTTTAGCTTGGCTATGATCAATAGCTGCTTATCATCCACATTAATGAATGAAAAGTGGAAAAATACAGTTCTCTGCGGTTTTGGGTAGAACCACCACCTATTGTTCTTGTACTAACTAGAGCCTACCATAAATTAACACTCATAGTACATAGATCCAGATAGCTTGAAAACCGAATCACGTTCCTCAAACTATATCGTTGCATACTGTAGAAGGATGGTTTGAGCAGGGACTCTAGCATTAGTCCTGCTTCTTGATTGATTTCTGCAGTAGGAAGCAGAGGCTTATGCCCTGGGGTTGTTCCTTGCAGAGTACATGCAGATATTGGCAGGGAGGGTTTAAGGAGTTGTTGTGATGGCAAGATGAAGTCAGGCTAAGATAAAAGTGTGCAGTAGGCTGGCCGGTTAGCTCAGTTGGTTAGAGTATAGCCTTGTAACACTGAGGCTAAGGGTTTGGGTCCCTGTTCTGGCCAGCCGCCAAAACAAATAAGTATGCAACAAAGAATCTGCACAGAAACAACCAAAAGTTGGCTAAGTTATCATTATATATTATAATAAAATAGCATAAATTATTATTAAGTTAATGTTTGCTTCACTTTTCTGTATAGGAACTTTTCCTAGTTTGAAACTGACAACCTGTTACCTCATCCCAAACACAGAAGCTGTCGTGTGGCAGGTTGTCTATTGGCATGCATCTCAAACTACATGGCACAAGTTCTCCTGATTAAAACGATATCCATTTCATTGATTAAATTCTCAATACCAACAAGCACAAAAGGTTAATGTACTTCCTCACAAGCTTTTTAAATGATTGTGTTGAAGATAATCACCATATACATAAGCTGGAAATAACTTCTGAATCTCATGACAAACTACACATAACTGTAAACTAACATATTAATATGTTTCAGGTGGCTGAACTTGTAACCAGTGAGTTCTTTGAACAAGGAGATCGGGAGCGATCAGAACTCAAACTCACTCCTTCAGTAAGTTCATCTCTTTACTATCACGTATTTACCCTTTTTGAATGACATTTTCAAAAATACCTTCAAATCACAACTTTAAAATGGGAAAGACTGAGAATGGATTTAAGGAAGCACTCCTGGAAGTTTAAGACTTTAATTAAACTTAAATGCTAAACATTCTTATTCCCAGGTTTCTGATTAAGAGTGGTGAGCCACTTAAACAAGCATTTCCTGAGCACCCACAGCAG